ATCGGAAGAAGCACGATTCCAGGCCAAGTGGGGCGAAAAATGGCGGTCATCGGGATGACGGAGAGACGCGTTTTTTTTCCGCTGGTTTTCGCAATTTGAAACGAAAATGGAGAACGGCTGGCGAGGTGCATACGGGCGGCTGGACGTCGCCCCGTTGGCTCGGACGAGGCCGTATTTTTCCACAACGACAGAGGCGTCGCGTCAGGAGGCGCAATTGCGGAGGTTAGAATCACGCGTGCGCGGCCGCTCGCGTTCTCTCGCGTATCCATAATTGCGCCGCTTCCTGCGCGTGAATACCGTTGTCCTACATTTCGGTAAGTACGCCTACCGTCGCGTTATTTTACGAACTAGGTCGAACGGCTCGGCCGTCATACCGCGCAAGCCTAATCGTCGCGAATCCGCCGTCCTACTGCTCGCGCCTTTCTTTTCACCGATCGACCGCCCGCTATTTCATCGCGCCTTTATCTCCCTGCCTCGCAGCTCTCAAATGCGATACCGATCTCGCTACTCGAGCCGTTCCACTCTATCGCGGTACTCTTACTTATCAGCCGACTCTGATGTCCATTTTAAATAACCATTTTAAATATCGCCAACGCGGGAAACCGAGCTTCGCGGAACTCCAATGCGCCCCTAGACAGCGAGAAAAAGAACTACGCGACCATCGTTACCGTGCCACGGTGTAATTACGGATCGCCCCAACTATGGTGGACTTTCTCGAAGAGATTGTTCAGAGACGCGTAGATTTTCCTCGTTCCCGATCGTTCTCCGTATCCTGTGAAGCGTAAAAAGTAGCCCGCGACGCGAATCTCGTGCTTCGAGATCAGAGAAGCCTGTGATTACGTCACCGATCAATGTCACGACTAAGCCGGCGTTAAAAATCCAGCTACGACGAGTGTACACGGGTATAAGCACGGTTTGGCGAGATAAAAGACGCAGCGTTACGTCACCCATTGCGGAAGCGTTGGCGGAAATTAGCGAAGAGGTTACGAAGTGTCCTTCGATAAAATTGGTTCGTTGCCCAACGCGTTATTGGCGCTGGTCCTCGGATAGCGATGGCGTATTCCTCGCGAGGAGCGTAGATGACACGGTAACGAGTGTTCGAATCGACCGCTATCCGGAAGCGCGTACACCGCGTGGACCCTTGGAAAGGAAGCGGACTTTCGCCCTACTGGATCCGCGCCGTGGATCATCGTTAATTCCAGAGGGCACCAGCGACAGCCTCCGTAGCTCGGTCTCTCTTTTAACGAGCTCCGATGAGAACGAATTACTCTCGCTGCCTACTCCCCGTAATTATTCCACTTTTCGGTTTTCCGTTTTCCGTTCTTCCAGCAACTCCCCGGCCGATATTAAATGCGCACCGGCTTCGTTAACCCTGCCTCCCCATTACCGCCGCAATTCCGCTAAAAATGCTTATTTCTTAGGATCCCAGCTGCTCCTGGCCACCGCTTAAATGCCGTTGGCATTTCATCACTTCGCGAGGAGGTCCGCTCTTTAGTTTCGCTGCCAAGAGGAATCCCCGCGCCGAGGACGAGCCGGTGGAAACTCGTTAGACCACAATTATCCTCGACGGAGATCGGTATCGGTAAGGATATTTTGCTGTGCTTGCGACCAGGAAATTTAATATGGCTACTCGCGCTCCGTTATCTCTCGCGATAAGTACCTTGTCTATTCACGGAGCCTCGTGTTTCTGGCAAAACGAAATTGTATTACGCGTTATCTTCGACTTTTAAATTCCGCTCGGGAAATTTGTTATTCAAAATTGACCGCGGCAGTCCTACGCGGTAACGGAATTTTTATTTCTATTTATCCGTTTGGCGGATAAAACGGTCTGTAATAACGTATAACTCGCGCATTTGGCAAATAAATTAACTCTACAGGGAAAAAAAACATTTATTTTAATCATCGCATTACGGTTTAATTGTGAAAAATTATACGTTAAAGTAGTGTTTAATTTTATCTAACCACCGTATACTTATTCTGTCCACGATAAAATTCGATAAAAATCTCGGAAATTCGCTTGATTGGTGTAGCTAGACTCGACAGTGTAGCACGAAGAATTAGATACAAAAAGTTAAGCGTCAATAAGTGCTTTCGTTTTAAAATTAAAAAGATTTCGAAAAGTAGAATAAATTTCACTGTAAATTACTCGTATTATAGGTATAAATTTAATAAAGGAAAAAGATTTTCGTTACAGTTGTTACCGGATAATAAAATTTATTTATTTATTTTACGAGTAAAACGTAACGCATTATGCATGAAAACCGTAATAGAGCGGCAGCGAACTAGTCTACGGTGACACTGTGACACTGCGACACGTGTGCCCCCTACGCGAGAAAGGTTTCAATGGCGATCGAAGAAAAGTAACGGGCGAGATTTAGCCGAAACGCGACCACGCTCCCGTACGAGTTTCCCCGTCGTCGCTGAGTTGGACCTTCTGGGGCTAACTTTTTCCTACGACGCGATCGCACACACCCGTGTATTCGAAGGTATACGCGAGCAATACTCGACGACCGAGTGTTATGTAATGGCCAGATGGACTTGGCGATGTTTTGTTTTTTTCTGCGCCACTAAACACTCGAGGTGTCCTTTAGTTACGATTCTAGAGACGCTTCGTGCCGGTATACGATAGGCGTGTCTGAATGAGTTTGCCGTGTAATGGAATAGTTTGTTTTCACGTTCCATTCGAAGAACAACGATAAAATTTAAATCCAAATCTCTTACAGTCAGAATCTCCGACGAAAATGACACCGGATGCATAGGTATGTACACTGTCACGATTGAATTATCGAATACACGAAATTTTAAGGTTAGACTCCGGTATGTCGAAGCATCGATTTATTTTTGAATTGTTTATCCGATTGAAACTGGTTTAAGACTACTGACTCGGCTCGTGCAGGATAAGCGAAAAAGATTGTTATCTCGTCGTAATAGGATACGCGAAGATCAAGATCACCATTGATTTCTGCCATAAAAATTTTCCATTCGAAACTTTTGCTTTCCTCCGAAATGACCGTGTAATAGCAACCTTGAAAACGGAGAGAAAATGAAATTTCGGAATGAGAGAAAAATGGAAATAAAAAAGATTAGGAAAAAAAAAGAGCATACCCGTTGAACATCGTTCGCACGAAGTAATTCTCGCGTAGCAATACAGTCGCGATGTAACTATTACGAGTGAGAGTACTCGTTGGAAACATGAATGTACGCTTACGATTATGTTTACCAATTTGTGATCATAAATTAATACAACGGTTCCAAATAGATGCAGCACGTATACCGTATTCCGTATGAGTACATGTAAATGAATCCGCATACACTCAGCTATAGAGGTAAGCGTAACACAGTGGTACTCACCGTGGAAATTACCTGTTACTCTTCTACGTGCTACATCGCTGCGCTAGTTCGACCGTCGGAGATCAACAATTGGAAATCGTACGGTATTTCGATTACGTCGCGTCGATAATCGCTGCTTTTCGCTAAATTAATTCGTCCACGCTAAAATGCGATTTCAACGATCGAATCTCAAATGACTGCGCGGAAATCTGACTTTCGAATCGAATTCGAGCGTGAATTTGAATTACAAATTTCCGATGCTCGTTTAACCAACGTTCATTCTTCGATCTAACCAGAGTTCAAGTATGCGTTATCGAGATAAACGATAGATGTCGGAAAGCCAGCAACTTTGTCGCGATAACCGATATATAGGCGTTGTTACGGAGAACAGGGTGTCGAGCACATGGAAATAGCCAAGACCTGTCGAGAAAGACACGCGCATACGACATATTTCATTGTAGGCTCGAACGACACCGAGCACGAAAAACGACTGTTACCAACCGTCGCTAATGCGCATTGCGCGCGCATACCGTGGGTCGCGCCCTCATCGTCATTCGTTCGAGCAATCAGCACACGGAGGAGAGGAGACCGTAGTCTCGAGGCAAAGATTCGAAGCTTCCCTTTGACCGCGACATAAGCAAAGTTTCGAGAATTTGATCGACATGGCTGAGAGAGAGCGTGTAGCACGGTGAGTACCACTGTTATAGAGCGATCATGCGCGCTCTTCCAGCTCTCCGGCAGCCTACCCCCTCGGCCTACGTCGCCCACCTAGCCTTCTGTTAGTTGCGTAACGCTGCAGAGTCATGCGATAGGATAGCACTGCCGTGGCGCGACCGACGAACACGAACGAACAGGAACGAGAAGGAACGAACGGAGTAGAGGAAACGAACCGAGCGAGACGAACGGACGCGGACCCACCGATAGATGGCGAGAAAGATGGAGATAGGGAGGAAGAGTGTGTGCGTGTTAGAGAGAGAGAACGAGAAGAGGGAGCAGGAGGGAAACAGAGAGAGACAGAGCGAGAGTAATAGTCGAGCAGCTTGGTTAGGGGAAAGGAGAAGATGGCTCGTCTTTAGGGGGAACGAAGAGAGTGTAGAGAAGAGGCAGAATCGTGTAGAATCGTTTTTTCTGATTTTTTTTCCCACGTCTCGGCTGCGCCGTTGTTCGCGCCACCCGGTACCGTTACTATTCCTCGTCCTATCAGGATTTTCGTGTTCCATCAATCCACTCGCGTTACCTTCCATTTTACACGCGTTTTATCTCTCATCGTGCGTGGTTCGACACCTTCGCGGGAACGTGGATCGATTTTTAACTCGTACCGTGAATTCTATCGTCTACGATAGCCGCACGAATCGTCCGCCAGATAGCATCGCCCGGTTTTAACCTCGACGAGGCGAACCTTCGAATCGGAAACTAACGATTGAAAAATACGTCGGGTTAGGTTGACCTGTAATTTTAAGCGCAGAGTAAAAAGAGAATTTCTGGCAACAATAACCGTAGACTATTAATGTACTTGAAATAACGTAATTTATTGTTCCGGACAGTTTTATCTGGTCCGTGGTATCGGGGATTAATAGCCGGCTGGTTAATTTATCGAGGAAACCTCGTATCGGCTCGATGCGAATATATCATCGGCGCGCTGGAAAATATATCGCCTCGGGATTTCTGCGCGCGATCCCTTTCGAGTTTCCTGATTCCCATAAGCGCGTTACGGTGATCCTCCAACGGCATCGAAAGGTATTCGCGGCCGCGACCACGGTTTCCCTGTAAAGCATCGGATGCGAAATTCCGAGAAGTACGGCGATAGATAAAAATAGATAAAAGCGACGGCATCGCCGGCCTGCTGGCTTTCTGGGAACGCTTTCGTCAATCAGGGTCACGAGTGCACCGGTGCGCCTCGTTATGTCTAAAAGCAGTTTCGTGTAACTCCGAGGAAACGGAGCTCATTCTATGAGCTAACGGACACCGTGCTACTCTAAACTCGATATAAATGACAATAGTTTAATAGACTAATATGTTGAATTATCGCATAAATATCGGTCTCACCGCGGTCTCGAGTATATTAAAACAATAATTCTTTTACGATCTATTGCTTTGGAACTTTTCGTTTCTTCGTTCGTCAAAGTTTCAAATATTCGTTAACATTTCTACACGTATTTAATAAAAGTATAATAGAATTATAATTCCTTTTTTATTTTTCTTCTCCTAATAAGTACCCACTATTTTGGAAACAATAATAAATTTGTCTAATACATCTAGTATATCTAAATAAATTTTGTGTGCTTATTCGCTCAAGTATGATTCGAAATTGTTACTAGTATCTATGAATAAAATCATTCGACGTGGCAAAATATCGGAATAATTATAATACACTATATACGATATAATATTTTTCGAAATTATCCTCTCGGCGTTGGCGATCGCACTTATAGTCTCGCCCAGAATCCGCTAGAGGGAAGGTCGTTCGGGAAAATTTCTCGGATCCCTCTCTTTTGTATTTCGTTTCGATCGAACGAGCCCGATTATCTTGCATAACGGTGAGGCGAAAAGAAAGGAGGGTCGCGTCACGTCGGCGAGGAGATAACGGGTCGCGAGCGCGAAAAGAGACATGGCGCGAAATGTAATCAACGGCACGCGTGCACGACATTTTTCGCAAAGTTGCGAAATCGCGTAACCTCCGTGCCGCTTGTGTAAGCGAAAGCAAAAACACGGCAGCTTTCTTCGACGTTGCAACGTCGTATTTGCTCGCCGAGCATGTACGAGTCGTTTCATAACCTGTACCGTCGCGAGAACCGCCGACTCGTTGTTGTCGAGTCGACAAACGCAAATCGAATTTTTTAAATAGCCGATAGAACGGTGGGTATCGGAAACCGGCAGAAAATTACCGCGATTTTATTCGAGAGAGATGTCCAATAGAATCGACGAACGCTCCTCGATCCCCACTCCCGAAAAAACTTGTGCTTACGAGGCAGTAGAAGATGGAACTCTCGTCGAGTAAGATGAGCGAGCGTGTAAAGGGGGTTAGGTCGAGGAAGACTGGGAAAGTAGAGCACAGGGAAATTGGAGAAAATGCAGCTAGAGGGAGAATGCGAGGAGAAAAAAATCGAGGGAAGAGAGGGTGGAACAGCGATAAAGTGGAACGAAACTGAGTGGCGGGGTGGCGGAAGTTGGGGGTGGAAGGGAATGAGTGGGAAGAAAGAAAAGAAAAGAAACGCGGGCGTAGAGAAAAGAAAAGGAAACGAAGGGAAATGGAAAGAAACGCGTGGCACGAGGAGGGTAGCTGGTTTCGACTTTGTAGTAGGCCTCGATCGATGCTGTTACCATGGCTACAGGGGCAGTACCGCGGTGCTCTACTACTGATTATTTATGTCAAGGATCCCTCCCTGCTTCGAAGCTTGGAACGCAAACTCAAACGCGAACCACCCTAACGCGAGTGGCGATGGCCGTTCGAGTCGCCCTCTCGCAAGATTCCGAATAATTTCCTCGCCAAGCTTACGTTACTTAATTTTAACCCTAGAGACCCGATTCCGTGTCATCGTCTTAACCTTATTTCGAATTTCGCGACGTAAAAGAGTTTACGTCGAGGTTAGAGTCGAACTGGATATATACGATGTTATCGAAAACGTAGGATCGTTTATTCCGATGGATCAGTAGCGTAGGCACGTGACGACTAGATCAAACGCGAAACCCTATGTTGTTTACGCGCTAGTAGCATTAAAGGCCTAGAAAATCCATGTAAGCGTGTAGATAGAGCAACGTTTCGTAAAATTTTGCTCGTGATGCAAAACAGGGTTCCTTTGAGTCTATAAACGACCATGGAAAATCGATAAAAATTAACGACTCGATATACACGATTTCGTAAAATTTTTTTCCTTGCAGTGTAGAAACTCGAACGCGATTCGGATGGTTTATAAACTCGCGATTTTTTAGTCGTCGATCAATTTCTTATTTTACGAATTCGTTGCGATTTCTAAAAGTTCACTAAATCAATTTTCGTTAACCTCAATCGCGCGCACGAATTTCATGTTTCTGCGCGGAAATGTGTTGCGGTATAATCCTCGAAATAGGTTATGTTCGTTGAGTCGTAATTTAAAAGAAAAAACTAGAACGCAAAGAAAAGAAGAAAACGAGCACAAAAGGTTTAGAGCCCTTATAAGAATCGAGATAACAGGGTTATCGCATTAAAGAATCATAAAGTAACGGGAAATTTTCAAATGAATCATCTTCGATGCGTTAGGATTTAAAGCAGGGATTAGTTGGCATTTAAACGATGGCTATTGCTAGTGGCGAGTGACGACTGAAGATGGAGCTCCGGTGGTCTTTTCAGAGCGAGCAGGACAGAAGAGAATACGCAGAGGGAAGTGTTCCCGTTGGGAAGGATGCTTTCGACCCAGTTCCACCCTCCCATGGTGGTGGTACCGTCATGAGCAATCGATACTGCGTCTAAGGGCCACGGTATCGTGCTCTATCAGTATGAAAGCTATCCCTCTAACTTGCGCAGAAACGACAATTAGACGTGAACAAAATGACGTCATCTTTTTCTGCCAACTTCTCTCCTTCATTTTCAACGCGTTCTTATTCTCCTAATTTCACGATGGCTATCGTGACCTAGTTTTTTCATATACGACTCGATTGTCAATTTGAAGAAAGAATTCGACTTTAGAATACTTCTCGGTGATATATTCTTTATTCAAGTTTTTTATTCACAAAATTCATTACAATCGTTGAGTTATGGGTTACTATAGTCAGTATTTCTGTCATTTCCTGCGAGTCAGATAATTTATCATTTTGTTATTTAACAGACGTATAATCAGGCAATAATGTAAAAAATTTGTTATCCGCTTTGTAACGCGTAATATTTTTACGCGAACATGACTATTTGTTAGGTTATACTTAAAGCTAAAAATGCATTGCCATTCGAATGATAACTCTTCTGTCATGTAATATTTATAGTTGATGATCATTATTCATTTGCATCGAGATAACCATACTTTCACGAATTGTGAGTGTAATCACGAAAATAACGACTCCTGGCATACGTACCAAATGTGTAATTTGTTTTCCGTAAAAAATATTGCTAATTAACGAAGAAACAAATTTTTCTACTAATTTACAAACATTACTTTCGTTGATTAAACTGCTAGATCGCATGTTCGAGAAAGTAACGAAATATCGTTAAATAAATTATTCACTACTACCAGTTTCAACTTTGGTAAATTTATTTAAAATTTTTTCAGATGACGAATTAATGCAAATCTATAAATTATACTAACATCGTTTATAAAAACCGAAGTATTTGAATTTTACATTTCATTCACATATAAAGTAATTTCGTGTCTGACATACAAGATTTTGCAGTTACATCGAAAATAAAAATTAGAAAATGTTAATGTTTTAAAGGCTATTTTTACATCTGTATTTCCGATGTAAATTGTGCGTAATGGGGACAATTACTCATTATCGAGACAGTGCAATGTTAATAACACACACACGGTGGGCGGATGAGGTCATACATACAATAAATTTAATAAGACATTATAAACTACTCTTTTCTACTTGTCTAAATTTCTCAACTTTTAGACAAAATTTCATTCTAAATTAACAAATGCATTTCTTTCTTCCGTTGTAAATTGTATAGAATAAATTGTTTCGATTAAAGATAAGAAATTCTAGCAAGTATTTTTTCCAAGCATTACCTGTAATTTCTCTATGCGAAACTGATATATCAAAAGATCAAGTAAGAATTCCACGAAAAGAAATCAAACTTACGGATCACATATTCATCGGAACATTCTTACAACACAACATCCACATTCTTTCAAATTATATTCTTAATCGTTTTTTTATTCTATATAGACGTACATTAGTTTGCTACAGTCGACGTCTTTCGCTATCTCACACATTTCTTCAATCTTAATTTACGCGCTATCAAACTAAAGCAGTAACTAACTATCTTCTTAATATTTACACGTCTATCATTAGTAGATTGTATATAATACAATTTGCATCTTTTTGCTGTCAGCGGCTTCTATTAATAACATCTTGGTGCGAATAATCTACTGCCAAACTTTTTCCCCGTCCTTTAACCTTCTTCTACGAAACCAATCGTGTTCGAAGTAAAAGACGCGTATCACTATAACTTCGCAAAGAATGACCAGAAAAACATCTTCACATTTACTCGACATAGTCAACGAGTCATACGTCAGAAACCCTCGAAATCAAGGCAACTTACGAATGAGTACAGTAATATCAACTGCAAATTTCTCGTTAATACAAACCTTTCTCGGTATACATACATTTCTGTACCTTATAATAAAGGAAGAAAATAAAACTATTAATTTCTTACATATCCCCACCCAACCCTGTCAACATATGATGTTACAACAAAAAAGGGAAAAAGAAATAAAAGGCGAGAAAAATAAAAAAAAATAATAAAAAAAAAAAATGCAGACACACACCTGCTGCCTTCGAGACACTTCGGGAATATCCTACGAAATTGTAATATATTCTACGCATAAATAATAAAATGAAAGATACGGTGGCATAACACAAGTGAATGTAATTATTTCTTATGACTCGTATGGTATAACAATCCATAATTTTTTGTTGAAACGTCAAATGTTTGATTGAACGTTCACGTAAGTTGTTATCCTATATAATCTAAGCTCGATGATTTATCATACAAAACAGTAAATATCAGAGAATACGGGATTTATGTGAGAATCATATCTTCATAAAATAGATCATCGATCATCTGTTTTAAATGCTAAGTTTTCAGAAAAAACAGATGTGGAATTAAAGCTGTATAAATAAAAATAGACACACGGAAACCATTCTTAAGATGCAGCTGCTAATAATTTGTCCCTCTCGGTTTTATCTACCGCGGCCACGTGATCAGGTTTTTCGCCTCGTGAATAACGTTCCCACATTTTCTTGTACAGCATTTCCATGCCCACTGCGTACAGCTTGCAACTGAATAACGGACTTTCGGATCTTGCTTTCCACACTTTAGCTCGTATTGCTTTCAAGCTTAAATAAAAATAATTGGTTAAGACATATCCAACATAAAAATATAAGACATAACATAAAAACAAAAACTAGGAAAATAGTTTACTTACTATTCTCTGTCAGTGCCTAAACGAATAGCAATATCTTGATATTCTTGCCGTGTTCGTGCAATTAATTCGGGACATCCCAAAGTATTCAACTGACTAGCAGCAACACGAGATGCTAATGTTTCACCTGGTAGTGTAACCACTGGAGTTCCAGCCCATAAAACATCCATACTAGTAGTGTGACCATTACAAAGCGGTGTATCTAAACATACGTCAGCTAACTGTCCTCGTCTGACGTGTTCTTCCTTTGCAGCAACATTGCTGAACAAAATTCTACCAGGAGATAAACCTAACCGTTGAGCTGTTGCTTGTAAATTTGGCTCACCAACGGCCGGAAAGCGCAATAACCACAGCACAGAGTTTGGCACTTGTTTTAGAATCTAAAATTTATTATCAGTATATAAAAAGTAAGGAAAATACTTGACACTTTCAATGCAAAAAGTACGTTAAATATGAAATAAACTTACATGTGCCCACATATGAAGTGTGAGCGGATCAATCTTGTATAATTGATTAAAATTGCAATAAACAACTGCGTCTTCTGGCAGACCGTATTGTTGTCGCGTTGTAATCATAATATTTTGAGGCACTTCTTCACCTGTTGCTGTTTTGTTGTTCACTTGTGTGGTGGCCATACCATTTTGAACTACAACACCATTCACGGACATTTGACATTGTCCAGAAGCAATCATTGTCTCAATAGGAGTAGTAGTTGGCAGTTCTGCAACTTTTAACGAAATCTCTACTGGTTTGTTTTTGGCATCCGGTACTAGTACTTCGCGAATTTCCTTAACGCATGTATTTTCAATCATTGGAGAAAGATCGGTGGCATTTATCACAGCTACATTATCTGCTACTTTGCCCTTCATGTTCAATTTGTCCGTTAATATGAGTCGTTCTTTTAGATGTGGAAACATTTGCCTGGAAAAGACAAATTATAATAGATAAAAATAAAAGAGATACACTATATAAATAGATAAACATCACATGTAGTATATAATAATATATCTCGCAAACTTACTTGTGATCTCCAATGAAATACGTGTGTGGCATGTAAGCAAGCTTTTCGCTATATTGATTAGCAAGTTCCAAAGGTGACGTTACTTCGTCGGTAATTAAATAATCCATAAAACTAGCACCTGATGTTCCCGGATATCCAAGCCACATCACTTGAACTGGTGCTGGTCGTAGAGCAAATATTTCGTTCCTCGCTCCCTTTGTATACCCATTCATGTTTACTAAAATATGTATCCCATCCGCATTAATACGATCAGCTGCTTTTCCATTGCACGGAATTTGTGATAAGTCAACGAAATGTTCTGCTTCTCTAGCGATTTTTGCTCGAAAAGTAGTCCCATCATCAGTACTGAGAGCGTAACAGAAAATTTCAACGTTCTGTCTGTCATGGAGTCCCGGAATTGATTGCATAAGATGACTAGTAGGATGATTTCCAAAATCGGACGAAACGTATCCAATCTTTAAGCGAGCACCAATTTCACGTGGATATTTGTAAGGTTGTTTATGTAGAACGTGAATCTGCAACCATTATAAAACCATCGTTAGGCCACCGCGTATTTGCATTTTTATATTTTTCATACATAAAGAATATTATATTAAGACATAGCGTTTACCTTCTCGATGCATAGATTTGCATGTCTAGCAGCAATAGCCTTCCTAAACTCATGAGATAATGGATAGAGCATGGAATGGTGCGGGTGTACACTAGGTAGTCTATTCTTGTCCAGTTGCTCAGCAACGATTGAAACTAATTTCTTCATTCGAGCTTCATAATCAGTCCAGTCGCAAACAATCTGAAGACAATGTGCCAGATTACAATACGCATCCGGAAAATCAGGTTTTAACTTCAGTGCAGTTCTGTATGATTGAATAGCTTCAGGAATGTTTCCAGAATCTTTATGAATCGAAGCTAAATTGGAATGAGCATCAGCGAAAGCAGGATTAATTTGAATAGCTCTCGTATAGCATTGAAGAGCTCCTTGTATATCTTGCATTTCTTTCAGGGTATTGCCCATGTTCGAGTAAGCATCCGCGAAAGTCGGCTGAATACGAATCGCCTCCTTATAATGCATTAATGCTTCGTTTAATTTTCCTTGTTGTTGTAATACGGAAGCCAGATTGCTATGAGCCGCAGCAAACTCAGGGAATACTTCAAGCGCTTTCAAATACAATCGAGTTGCCTCTTCGATGTATCCTTGTTCGCGTTTTATGTTGGCCTAGAATGAAACACATTGCGTACTAAAAAATAATAATAACGAGACCTAAAAAAGATATTAAGTTGATATACATTGTCCTCAAATTCGCGAATTTTTATTAAAACTTGAATATAAGCATTGATCCGAAATAAGGCTGTTTATTTAGGTTCAACAAAAGCAAAATTATTAAATTATAAATACAAAATTGTATCTTCCTTTGTGAAGAAAAAAAGAACCAGAAAAAGAAGCAAAAAGGAGAATTATTCTTCGGATTGATCGGCTATGACTATGAAAAAAATAGTTGTCTTGCATAAGCTAGACGCAAATCTCAATAACATTCCACGCATACACGTGTATATAATAAATTATATGTACCAGATTATTAAGGGAATCGGCATGTGAGGGGCAGAGGCGAAG